TCTTACTACTGTTCGTGCCATTATAAGTTGTAAATCACTTGAGGAACATGCTGCTCACGTTATGCTATTGAATTATATTACCCACAAACTACTCCAAGCTGCTCGCATGCATTTCTCATGAAAAGCCCCCAAGTGGCACAGCATTATCTTTGAAGACTTATGGCACTAGAAACCAGGTTTTGATACCCTGGTGGACAGCAAAAATAGCCCATTGTGTAGCTTTGTGCTTAACTTCAAATAAATAAAAAAATCCCAATGAAAATTTTTTTATTATATTATTATTTATTTTACTTAATCTAACTTTAACAAACCCAAAGAGTTTCTTACTTTTATGCTTTAGTTACTTTTATAATAACAAAAAGAACACACACAAAAAACAAGAAATTAAGTGCTTACCAGGGCCTCTTTTTTTTTTTCCGCTTTACCATCGATGATGGTTAACCCTACTTTTTTAATATACTAATGGTAGTAGTGCACTAAATAATTCTTATTTGATTAAATAATACATCAAAGAACATAGAATAATAATATGCAAAAAGAAGACAATGTACCATAATTATCACAGTTTTTCTAGTTTTCTAACTATGTGACAATAGCTGTTACAAATTCCTCCACGCTAGGCGATGTGTTTCCCATGGGAACGAAGCTTATACTGAAAGAGAAATTAACCTTTTTCTGTAATATAACATGTCATTTGATAGATGAAAACCTTGGATTACTATTGGTTAAAAATAATAAAGTATTAAATCTAAGAGAGAAGTATTGACAAATCTTGAAAGAGAGGATGTGACAGATTTCCAATTGTGAATTTCATGTGAATGTCCCAGTTTTAAGTTGGCTAGAGTTTTTCCAAATTCTAAACTGAAACTATTAACTGTTACTGCTGTAACTAATATACTGCCAAGTTAGTTTTGAATTTTGTCACCATAGAGAAAAGGTTTTCCTCTTCAAACTCCCAAACTGCCAAGTTAGTTTTGAATTTTGTGTCACATAGAGAAAAGGTTTTCCTCTTCAAACTCCCACACTTTACCAGTTTCAGATAAAGTAGTGAACTATTAAAACATGTCTTTGTGTTTCAGAAAATAAACCTGGTATTGGAAAAGTTGTTTACCTATAATCATGGCAGAAAAGTTTTAAAATGATTGGTTTATAAAATATTTGAATTTTTTAAACAGAATAAAAACTGTCCATAAAAGTATTTATTTTAAGCTCTTATTATATTAGATATTTCACAGCTTGTACTTCAAGAAAATTGTAATGGTAAATTGTCTCACCCCCATCCCCCAATTTTATAATGTCATTCTTTAAGTCCTTAATAAAAACTCTGGGTACATCTGGCTTAAGATTTTTGAGAATTGATTAAAAGGGCCACACACATCTGACTACCCCAGAGGGCACCCTGAGCACCAATCAAAGAACGACTTCAGGATTTTAATTGTAGCTAATGTACTGAGTTAAAACAAAATGATTTAACTAATGATATTTGTTTCTTCAAGTTATTAGTTTTTCTTTTGGTTTAACTAAATGTTGCAAGTAATTTTTGATAATTGTGGTTAATATATTTAGCTGTCTGTCACTAAAGTATTTATAGAAAGAAATAATTCACACAGTATTTATATAAAACCTACCTCCTGACTGTTTAGGTTTTCTTTATCCTGCGAAAGAAGTTTAACCAGGTGTCATTTCTCCACTGCTACCACCATTGCACCATCGTATTTAACACTTGGATGGGTGTGAAGTATGCTCCTGGCGGCCAGAGTATGTATTTTGTGTTGTCTTGAAATTAAATTTGTATACAGTTCAATTACAGTAGAACCTGAACATTAAGGGCACCCTTCTGACTGCATCCAACTGCCCTCTATAACAAGGTCCCCTTAATATAAAAATGAGCCATACTGACTGTGTTAAATCTTTTAAATTTAACCCCCCCCCCCATTTTGTTCATGGGTGTTCATGAATTGCACATTGCCATGACATGGAGTGTTGTCAGTAGGAGGTTTCGGGGGGGTAGATTAGTTGTGACCCTTTTTTTCTTTATTATTGATCACAAAATTTCAAAGTACTTCTCTTCAGAGTTTGAACTGCAAAACATTTCACATTTATTTTCTGTGTTTATTTTACTGTCAATGAATGAAGTAGAAATCTGCTAAAAATAAAGTAACAAATCACTGTTTGTGTCATTAAACTGTTTATGTGATACCGTAATACGATACTCTCGAGAGCAACAAAGCATGTGCACAGAAATAAGTGGACTTAACCCCTGCTCCAAGAACATGATATGGAATTTATCAGATTCTGTATCTTACAGTGTTTACATACAACGAGAATTCCACAGAGTAATAAGATTGCACTTTGAATCCGTGAAAATGTTTATTACAGTATATGGTTCGGTGCCAATCCAATAAACATTACAAGTGTTTGAATATTAGTCATCCTTCTGGGATGCTTGGAATTTAGCAGAAACCCATATAGGCATACAAAGATAACTGTCCACTTTATCGAGTGCCCTGATAGAGAACAAGACTAAAGACACTGCCCTTAATTCGGAATATTGAGGTGCCCATTATTGCAAGATTTATTTTGGTTACAAATAGTAGAAAATAGAATTTGAAAAGATCTGCCCATAACCCATTAACTGCTGCAGGAGCAGCTGAGTTGCCATTTTCTGACTCACAGTTAAAACTGAGTTGCCATCAATCACAATAAAACGGTAATTATTGTCATTTGCATAGAGTTATATTTATATATGTGCAACTTACAGATATTTCCATCATTTGCAGCTGAGCCATAGAACTGAAATGATGGAAATATCAGTCATCTGCAGTTAGTGGGTTAATGTCACAGTGCCCATTGTTTCAAGGTGCCCATTAATTGAGGTTCTACTGTGCTTAATATTTCACTTCAAAATCAACTGTAAATATTAATCAACTTAGAATAATATTTACAGTTGATTAATATTAATCAACTTATATTTTGATGCCTGAAAATTGTGTTACTCTTACTCTCATTGCATTGGCAACAGCATCTAACATAAAATATCTATATTATAATATTGAATTGTAGACACAAAGGATTTGTCAATTCTGAAGGCACTGTATTCAAATTTCCTATATATTTCTTTCAAATGGCATGAAATATGCACATTTCTTGATTTACATTGTACTTTCCTGAGCTATGCTTCAACTGATGAAGATTACTACCATCTTTTAGCAACGTACAAACACTTTCACACAGACATCCCTGAAATCACAAGGCTATTCATTTTATTTTACTTTGGGAGAACAGACATCAAATGTAACAACACCATGACAACCAGTACTTAGATGCTGTTGGATAAGGTAAAAAATAACACCTTCTCTAGCACACTGAATGAGAATACAACTAACATTAATTACCAGAAAAATTATTCAGCCTTAATTTATTCCTTAAAATAGAAGCATTTCACAACTAGAGATGGACAATTAGTGGAATTTGCTGATTAACTGTCAAATTACTGATTAATCTCTCAAGATTTGAGGTAAGCAAAAACAATAACAATAGGAAACACCAATTTTCATTAGTTGGATAGTCTTGTAAGATGTAATGCTAATTTATTAAGCTTGATGACCTTGAAGTAATCTATATACTACTAAAACGCTGAGATTGTTTGTTTGTTTGTTTGTGTGCTTGTCTGTAATTAAATACAGCAAAAATGGCACACAATATGAGAATAGAAATATGAGTAGAATATGAGAAATGAGAATAGAAACAGAATAAAACAAGTTTTATGAACATTTCTAGCATGAGTAATTTTTACATCACACTATCGTTCGCACTCTTTATGAAACTTCTTCATTCAAATC